AGGGAGGAACTGCCCTTTTTATACTTTGTCAGTAGTTTCCAAGGTAGTTTCCAAACACAACTAGCCAATCAGAAGAGTGTTTTGAGTGAGTTCCGATGACGAAATCTTTGCTAGCCAATCGTGAGGGGTTTTGACTGTGTTCCGCCTGTTATTGTCACCAAATAACAAGGACTTACACCCACCGGTTGCGTAAAGATTGGCTCCACGAACATTTTCCGACGGCTTCCGACGGTTTCCGAGGTGTAATCGAAGCTCGAAAGGCCAGCGCGTGATCCGGAGCGCTCCCGAACGCCTCATGACCGCAATTATAACGAAATTAGTCATTCTAAACGTATTTTCTTTAATAAATAACTGTAAAACAGGAAGATGGTTTATTTCTGGAAGACGTTTAGTGATTTCCACAAAAGTATCAGTAGTTTCCAAAGGGAAATTAGAGTGTTTTCCAAAAGTACTTTTATCAACATTTAACTAGGTCGGAAAAAATTTGAGTGAGTTCCGGAAATCAGGTAAACAACCCTGGATCCACCCCTGGAACTTTCTTTGCCATCTGCATTTTTCTTTCCCAGACATCAAAAGACACTCCACAAGACCTGCTGCTGTGAATGAACTTATGTAGGTGTGCCTGTTTGTTGATCAGGTTTTCAATACTCTCCTCAATATCCCAATCATTAACTTCTGTTATTAAATTGGCAGTTAACACTTATCAGTTATTCTTAAAAGGAGGTGAAGTTCATCAACAATTATATGATCCAATTCAATGTCCAGAATGGGTTCCTTACAGCAGCCATAATCATCTGTTGATTTTTTGGACATTTCTTTCAATTCTTTTAAAGACCTTGAAAGTGGCTTTGAATTGAAATAACTAAAATGCGGATCTGTTTTCCATCTATCATCCTTTTGGATTTTACACCATGCACATGCATAGTTAGCTGTTGCTCCATTTAAACCTAGCATGCGGAGAATGAATTTATAATGCGGATCTGTTTTCCATCTATCATCCTTTTGGATTTTACACCATGCACATGCATAGTTAGCTGTTGCTCCATTTAAACCTAGCATGCGGAGAATGAATTTATAATTACCGCAATGCATGGTCCCTAATTGTTCCGTTCAACAGAGCATCGTAATCTTACACAAGCTGTAGGCCAGGGAAAACTTGTGAGGTTTTCTCAGAGGGTCCTCAGTGATAATTCTATGCCATTCCTTTTTACAATGGATAGGGTATTCAGGGGTGGATCCAGGGTTGTTTACCTGATTTCCGGAACTCACTCAAATTTTTTCCGACCTAGTTAAATGTTGATAAAAGTACTTTTGGAAAACACTCTAATTTCCCTTTGGAAACTACTGATACTTTTGTGGAAATCACTAAACGTCTTCCAGAAATAAACCATCTTCCTGTTTTACAGTTATTTATTAAAGAAAATACGTTTAGAATGACTAATTTCGTTATAATTGCGGTCATGAGGCGTTCGGGAGCGCTCCGGATCACGCGCTGGCCTTTCGAGCTTCGATTACACCTCGGAAACCGTCGGAAGCCGTCGGAAAATGTTCGTGGAGCCAATCTTTACGCAACCGGTGGGTGTAAGTCCTTGTTATTTGGTGACAATAACAGGCAGAACACAGTCAAAACCCCTCACGATTGGCTAGCAAAGATTTCGTCATCGGAACTCACTCAAAACACTCTTCTGATTGGCTAGTTGTGTTTGGAAACTACCTTGGAAACTACTGACAAAGTATAAAAAGGGCAGTTCCTCCCTCAGCGGGTCTCTTTCGTTGCTCCTACAATACAAGTACATTTGAACTTGCGCAGGGGTTAACGACGGAATTTACTGTTAAACGTTTAAAAAATACTAGTGTTATGACTCGCGGAGATCCTGTTTGTCGGAGGGAGGATTGTTCTCCCTTCGACATTGGCCTAGTTTTCGACGAGATCCACAACTACTCGCCGCATCAGAAGCTGGAGTTCGTCGAAAACGTGTGGAAACCAGGTGAGCTTTTTGATTTCCCCGTGTCAATGGAAAATCTCGTAAGTTTGTCTCGGGCTGGCTGAAAAGATTTCCATGGCTAGCTTACTCCAAATATTTCGATGGAGCATTTTGTTTAGCTTGTGTTTGTTTTGGAGTTCAGTGTGGGCGAAACGCTAATAAGTTAGACAAATTAAGGATAGCCCAGAGACAAATGCATAGAAATAATGCTCCTGCTGCAACTCCTTCTAGGACAAACTGAGGGATATTTCAAGATCAATCTCACTAGAGTTTTTCTTGACCATGTACTCCAGCAGCTCAACACCAGATTCCAGGATGATGTATTTGTTTGCTATAAAGGTATTTCGATTATTCCCTCTGTTTTACTAGCTACTGACCCTGCCTGGAAGGCCAATGTTTTGGAATTTTGTAACCATTACAGACAGGACATACCAAATTATGCAGGATTACAGGCAGAGCTTTTGTTATGGGAGAGATTGTGGAAGGGGAGGGATAACAGAGGAGATATTATTCCTGACAGTTTGGAGGCTACACTGAAGGATATTGACAAAGATGCATATGTCAACATCTATTCCATGCTGAAAGTCCTGATCACAATTCCAATTTCATCTGCATCTTGTGAGAGATCCATATCATCCCTTCGGAATCTTAAGAACTATTTGAGAAATACAATGACCCAGGACAGACTGAATGGATTGGCACTGATGCATGCCCACAGAGACATGGATTTTGACCTTGAACGTATAATAGATTTATTTGCTGAGTTACATCCTAGGAGAATGAGAATGGCAAACATTTTGTAATAATTTTTTGCACCAGCTGTTTCTAGAGTACTTGTGAGTTATGTTCTGTCTGGGTTATGGCCTTTAAGTCTCATAATCCTTAAACTGATGGAGAACAGTACAGAAGCTCAAACTGGTGCCTGTATAACTTTTTTCAACTCATTTCAAGGTTATTTTCTATTTTGTTTTACTTGTGATGATTTTCCATTGACATTGACATTGGGTTTTCATGTTAAGCTTAAATGGTTAACAAACATTTTCACTGAACTCAACCAGCTTCACAGCAATTCCCAAGGATGAAGAAAGGCTAGTATTATTTCAAATTATCATTTTACTTCAATTTGTATATCATTTTATGATTCTTATAATTTATATTTTTCTAATAATTGTTTTATTTTTTGAATTCCAGCTCCCAACACAGGCTAACCATCCATAAAGCCCTTCTCTCTCTCTCAAATTCTTTTCTGTGTTGTGCTCCTATAAATGAAATGAATAAAAGCCAGCTCAGGAAATGTTGTTTTTAGTGTTGCTAAACATTTGGATTTATTGAGCCTGGCTTTCATTCATTTCATTCATTATAGGAGCACAACACAGAAGAAATTTGAGAGAGAGAAGGGCTTTATGGATGGTAAGCCTGTGGTCCCAAGGATGAAAAAGGCAAGTAGATTTTTATTATCAATCTTTAAACTATATCATCAATTGTGCTTGTTTTTCTTTTGTTATCAAAAACACTAACACTTGGTTCGTTTTTTTTTCTCCACATCTTGATTTTCCTGACTGGGAGGTGATGTTTTCCAGTGTGAAAAGTCTTGGTGATGACTTGGCCTTCCTGAAAACACTATATACACTGGTTTGCACAGTAGCTAAAGGTGGAATATTTGTAGATCAGAGTGTTTCCTGTAGTACTTTCAAGAAAAATAAATGTTTTTTGCCTTTTTGATTACATGCTTTTTTAGTCTTTTGGGGGCAATTAAATTTTCTAAAAATGCATGAAATGGCCTTTAGAGAGCTCCAAATTTCAAATTTTCTCGGGGGGGGGGCATGCCCCCGAACCCCCCTAGCAGGAGTGGGTCCTCGGGTGGAAACTACTCACTCAAAATCCTGGATCCACCCCTGAGTTCTGTTCACGAATGGATAAGTCTAATAAGAAATGATAAGAAAATAATGCTGTATCACCTTCCAGAGAAAATGAATGATTTCTTGAGGCCTGAAACTGATGAAAAGATCATAAAAATATAGGTGTACTTTGCAGCCCTGTAAAAAATCTCAGTAATTGGCAACCGAATACTAGCCCCACATAGTTTTGGTTGAAAGCAAAACAATAGGTGAGTGATTTCATTTCTCTCAAAGGATTAAGGGAAGGTTAAAAGTGAAAGAGAGTTACCCAATACCTTCATATATGGTTTCCCATATATCCCATGGTTTTTTCAAATGTACCAAGTAGTAACAACATTTACTGGGCAAGGAGTTGAAAGGAACATTGATGGGTCCACTGTTTTCTGGAAACAAGTGGGACTCTATTAGAGATGTTCTTCATCAAGAGTCATGCTAATGGCACTTAAGTAAAAAGGGAATGGGAGCCCAGATCCTATCAGAAACAAACTAGAGTACTGGGAAGAGGACATATTCCGAAAAAGAAAAAACTGTACTGCCTGAAATTACTACACCTCTATCTAATCTGCAAAGTGGTTAAAGTACTGTTGCATCTCAAACTCACCCTGCTGTGCCTTTGAGCTCAGTTGACTTTACAAAAATGACAGTTCCTCAGCTTAAAGAAGAATTAAAGGAAAGAGGAAGCAAAGACATTGCTAAGAAAACAAAACATTAGCTTGTAAGCTTACTGAAGAGCATTACTGACAAAGAAAACCAGTCAACCTCGATTTAAAAAGAAATGACATTGTCATTAGATGCAGATTGTAAAGTGGCATAGCATATAGCATTTGGCCTGCTGCAGGTGTAATAGCTGTACCTGTTGTAATAATGGCCTGTTAATATCCTGATAGGTGCAGATAAACTCAACAGGTTTCTTTAATCTACACCAGCACCATGTTACAGTACCATAATTCTTTTTGCACCGATAAATCCATATAACAGTAACAAAATGCCTAAACACTACACCCATCTCACTTTATAAGATAATCAATCTGAGAAATCAAAATTATTCATTTTACTGCAAAACTCAAACGTTCTTTAAATCTTAATCTTACATCAGATAGACTTATCAACAATAAAATCAAGTGAACTTCATGTGTTCTTCATAGTGGTTAATAAGCTGGGATTCACTGCTCAGTTTTTCCTGACAAATCCAGCAAGTAAATGCTTCATTGCAATCTGAGGAATCTGGCTGTTGCTGTCCAGAGTGCAATTTTTCATGCCTTTGAAGTGTTCTCTTCTGAGTAAACCACTTGTCACAGCTTTTACACTGGTATGGCTTCTCTCCAGTGTGGGATCTTTCGTGTACTGTTAGATCACCCTTTCGTGCAAACCCTTTGTCACAAGTTTTGCACTGGTATGGCCTCTCTCCAGTGTGGGATCTTTCATGTCTATGTAGATTTCTTCTATAAGTAAACCACTTGTCACAGCTTTTGCACTGGTATGGCTTCTCTCCAGTGTGGGATCTTTCATGTACTGTTAGATCACCCTTTTGTGCAAACCCTTTGTCACGAGTTTTGCACTGGTATGGCCTCTCTCCAGTGTGGGATCTTTCATGTCTATGTAGATCACCCTTTTGTGCAAACCCTTTGTCACAGCTTTTGCACTGGTATGGCTTCTCTCCAGTGTGGGATCTTTCATGTACTGTTAGATCACCCTTTTGTGCAAACCCTTTGTCACAAGTTTTGCACTGGTATGGCCTCTCTCCAGTGTGGGATCTTTCGTGTACTGTTAGATGACTTTTTTGTGCAAACCACTTGTCACAAGTTTTGCACTGGTATGGCCTCTCTCCAGTGTGGGATCTTTCGTGTACTGTTAGATGACTTTTTTGTGCAAACCACTTGTCACAAGTTTTGCACTGGTATGGCTTCTCTCCAGTGTGGAATCTTTCATGTATTGTTAGAGCATCCTTTCGTGCAAAGCAGTTGTCACAAGTTTTGCACTGGTATGGCTTCTCTCCAGTGTGGGATCTCATATGTGCTTTTAGAGTTTCTTTTTGTGTAAACCTCTTGTCACATGTCTTACACTGGTATGGCTTCTCTCCAGTGTGAGATCTTTCATGTCTATGTAGATTTCTTTTATCACTAAACCACTTGTCACAGCTTTTACACTTGTATGGTTTCTCTCCAGTATGAGATCTCATATGTGCTTTTAGAGTTTCTTTTTGTGTAAACCACTTATCGCATGTCTTACACTGGTATGGCTTCTCTCCAGTGTGGGATCTTTCATGTCTATGTAGATTTCTTTTATCACTAAACCACTTGTCACAGCTTTTACACTGGTATGGCTTCTCTCCAGTGTGGGATCTTTCATGTACTGTTAGATCACGCTTTTGTGCAAACCCTTTGTCACAAGTTTTGCACTGGTATGGCCTCTCTCCAGTGTGGGATCTTTCATGTCTATGTAGATCACCCTTTTGTGCAAACCCTTTGTCACAAGTTTTGCACTGGTATGGCCTCTCTCCAGTGTGGGATCTTTCATGTCTATGTAGATTTCTTTTATCACTAAACCACTTGTCACAGCTTTTACACTGGTATGGCTTCTCTCCAGTGTGGGATCTCTCATGAACCTCTAGATCTCTTTGTCTATGAAAGCACTTGTCACAGGTTTTGCACTGGTATGGCTTTCCTCTAGTGTGAGATCTCTCATGTCTTTGTAGATTTCCTTTTTTTACAAAACACTGGTCACAAGTTTTGCACTGATATGGCTTTTTCCCAGAAGTGGACATTTTTTTTTTGCCATGCAAAGTGTTCTAAAATGTAAGCAAACAAAAAAGAGATTTACTCAACCAGATGCACATATTTGACAGGGTTTCAGAAGCAATGTCTTAAGTTTGAATAAACAAAGAAATTGGATGGTGAGTGGGGTACAATATGTTTCATACACTGTAGTACTCTTCCAGGAAAGGAAGTTCTACCATAACAATTGCCACTAACAAAGGGATTCACAGACAGTGCAATTTCTGGCAAAAGCCCTGAAAGAAAAACCTTCACATGAGTAAGGACCTACAAAGAGAAGTGCATTTCCAACAAGTCCCTTTACATAGCCTCACACAACCAGTTCACACAATCTACATGTTGTCCTTGTGATGTTAAACTTTAATCTATACTTGTCACTGTCTCAAGTGGAGAACCCAAAGTACAAAAACTGGACAAAACAAATTTCTAGTGGACACTACAAAAGAGATTCCCAATAGACTTTAATAGAGAGAATCCGGTTAAAAGGTAAGACAATGATAAAAATCACAAAAAAAGGAGTTTAACACCTCATGCGGCTACTGATATAGCACAATTTGTATAAAGTATCGAAAAGAATTCAAGATTGTCTAATGATACTAGAAGTTGGTGTTGCACAAGATTTGTCTCTGGTGCAGAAAGCCAACTGCACCCCACATATTTACAAGTACCCTGTTCCACAAGAGAAAGATGATTCAAGAATATACTGATTACTTGACACTCACCCGATAATTGAATGGCAACAATAATATTAACAATATTAAACATAATAATGTTAACAACAGTAATAGTTGCAATAATTTATATCTGCTAGCTCAAAAAGCTCACCGTTCCTCTATCAGTCTATCCTCTAGGCCCAAATAATGATTAAACTATGCTCCTTTTGTTTTTATTCTGTTGATTAAAATTAATTTTCCCTTTTCCACATGCTAAACTCAAGGTATCTTAGTTAAGACATCGCTTCCCTTCTCAAATTTGGCAGCTCTTTTGGGTATAAATTGCTGATTGAAATGGTAAAATGCTCCCTCCTCAAATAAATAAAATTAGTCTTCAGAGCTTGTATGACTAAGATCAACTTTCCACATATTTATGCCATGAACAGTCTTGTCATCAAATACGTGCCTGAGACACCAGTGTAAAATTATTTTGAGAGATTTTATCATCATGTGTAGTGTCACGGCAAGGACTAAAAAAAAACCTTTACTTTCCAATCTACTGGGCATAATTCCCTAATCCAACCATTAAAATGCTTTCTCTTGATAGAAAGTAAATTCCTCTATGTGCCCCAATCACACCTTTTAAGATATTTCTGCAAGGAAAAGCTTAGATTTTTTACGCACCATACTGAGATGATTTTAAGATGTTTATCGTTTTCTTTAGTGCTCTGAAATAAACAATCAGTAGCACCAGGAAACTACTAACTCACTGACTCATTTCAACGACATGTGTGGCTTCGCCTCCTATATGAGGTATTAGCCATAAAAATAAAAAAAATTACCTTCTTTCATCAACACTCCTACATCCAATCCTCTCAATGAGTATAAACGTTTCCTAACTGTATAATTTTACCTGTTTTTAATCTTCAAGTTATTGGTCTTTCACTCGAAGTAAAGCCATAACTTTCAGGGTTGAAAATAATTCTTCAGCTTTTAGCGTGAATTTGTAGGCTTTTGTCAAGGCTCATTGTTTTCTTAACTGTCAATAATAAATGAGCAGTCAGCACATGTCTTCAACACTCAACATGATTTATTAACAGTACTGAAAGGAATAATTACCTTAAATTGCTTAAAATAATTTCAGCATCAGAATCTTTATTTTGATCAACATGTTTTGTGGCAGCAATTCCTTTTCTAAGAAAACGTTGCAAACGGCTCAATTTTTCGGTGTTTCTTCAAGCGTGAAATATACAATTTCGTCGAGACAAACTGTCGCGCTTCTCCATGGGAAATCCGTACTGTACAGTACCGACTTTAATTTGAACGTGTAAGAAGGCTTTGCAAACGACATTGAACAGGATTTGGCAGAAAATAAATCTTGATTAAAGGTAGTATGTAAGTGCAGAAACGTAAATGCGATAATGTGACGGTGTTTACACAAACTTGCATGTTTCACGCTCCAACAAATACGTGGAAAGCTGAATACTGTAAACAAAAATACTCCCTGTAGCACGCTTCGAATTTCGAAACTTTATACTCGTTTACGTTTCCGAAAAGCTTCTCACGCATTTCTTGGCTGCTTAATTGCCTAGCATGAAATGTTCATCATAGCATCACAGCGACTTTTACTTCAGTTGGACGATCAGTAAGCGTAATATTTTGCTATGAAATTCTAGTTCTTCGGTGAAAAATCGCTGATAAGTGCGCTTAAAGTTCCGGCTGCCGCCGGCAGCTGGCTGTTATTTTGAACCTTGCTTTCATCAAAGTACATTCATCTATTTTATTCTAAATTATCTGTTGCCCAAATAACTTATTAAGTGTAAATTTCTTTAGTAAGGAAACTCTCTCATATGCTTTTGGCTGACAAAGGGACAGCCATCTCAAAAGGAGAAGGATTTGCTAACTATTCATCCATTCAAACTTTCCATGGTGCATTCACGAAAAATTCTTCAGTTGGTAGAATTTGGGAAGCACAGGTTTGAATGAAGTCAAAACCTATATTTTTGCCTTCCTTTTCTACAATTGCTTAAATTGCACTTTACAGGAGAGCATCACTGCTGAAACATTGGTTTCATTGAGATATCCATTTGGTTCAAGATATGCTTAATGGCAATGGAAACATTTTAACAGTTGAGACATTCCAAAGTAAATTTCAAATGAAAACAAACTACTTCAGTTCTTTTAATTGATAGCAGTAACTCCATCGAATTTGAAAAGGAAACCCAGATGAATATAAAATATTTAGGTATATACCCAACTACTACTACCATCGTGGGAAATAAGCTAAATTTAACATTGTACTCATACCTTACAAGTTTTTATGTTTTCCAAAGTGATTCGCCCTTGTCTCCTCATTAAACCGACGTTATCTTGTAACTGCCGCCTCACTTACAGGTTCCCCAAGGTTGTTCATTTGAACAGGGAAGAGAGGACACTGGGAACAAGATTGAGCATTAGGACTAGGAGTTTTCTCACGCATCATACCTGCCTACGCTGCCAATATATCATTTTATTTTAAGAACAGTCTTAGTTTTCAAAATTCCCGCGAAATACTCTGTTCTCACCACGTCCGCGAGAGTATCACAATCAGAAGTTTGACTGTCTTCACTAGAAGAACGTTTCTCGTAATCGCGTGTGACAGAGCGTCGTTACACAATAATTTCATTTGCTACGATTAGCCAGCACACTGCAACCTCTGGTTAGGTTCTCAAATGAAGAAAAAATACGGGCAAAGGAAGTCTCCAAGGGTTTATATGGGATGTGAGAGCTTCTGTTGATATGAGAGCTCCTGTTGATATGTTCCTGGGTGGACATTATTACTCTAGTATGGTTGTATATGTTACTGAATAGACTATAATGATCGGCATAATAAGTAAAAAGTTTAATGCAATGAAAAGGTAAAGCAAGTGAAAGTTTTCCTTCCTTCTGCTGATCCGAGGTTTTTACGGCCATGGAGTCATCCCGATTGATTTTCAGTCAGCGGTTGAGCAGGTGGCCTAGATTGGTCTTTACGGGAAAAATAAGGGTGCTTTCCTTTAGGAGGATCCGGATTAGGTTTTTGTGATCCAAGATCACACAGATCACGTTGCATCAAAGGAACTTAGCTTTAGTTCATCAGATCAGTCACCATGACAGCAGGCGCGAAATTGTAGAGCACGCAAGCGGAATCGCGCGCTAAATTTTAAAACGAAAACAAGATTGCCGTCGCGGATAGAACAGCTGTTGTTTCGTTAGTAACAGGGACCGCGCAGCAAGTTTTGGAGTGGGGGGGGCTAAAGAAGAATGCGTGAAGGAAAATTTTTTTGTTAAATTATTCTTTGTTTAATTTATTTTTATTCTTGCAAAAAAGGGGGGGGGGCTAAAGACCCCCCAGCCCCTCCCTCTGCACGGTCCCTGAGTAAAGGAACTTTCCGATGATTCAATACTAATAGAAGTGAGAAGTTGTCAAGATGAAGAATTTCTATTGTTTCTTTTGATAAGGGAGAGGCAGAGCCATGTCCGCATCGAAAATTATTTCGAACGTATTAAACCACTCTACATTGTTTCAAATTTTTAAAGTCGTTTTCAGATGTCAAGAACTACAGTCAGCTGTTTGGGACGCCTTTTAGCTATTTGCCTATGTCTGCCTTATGGACAAAGGAGTGGTGGGAGACCTGCCATTGACTTACAGAAGCAAGTATTAATTACGATAAGGATACTCGGGAACCCTAAATGCCTGCGATCAGTGGCCGCTCGATTTAACATTACAAAAT